GAATGAATATTTGTACTTCTTTTTTTCATGAAATATAATTTTACTTTTAGGGGCATCGGAAATGAATGAGAAAAATTCATGCTATTTAAACCGTCGTTTTTTACAGAGTGCGGTTGTTGCGTGCAGCCGGAAGAAAGTTCGTTCGAAAGCCGGCACTCTGAGCTTACTGAAATGTTACAGAATTCAGCTGTAGGCAGATTAAATTTACAACCGTGCTTAATTAATCTTTTCGAAACGGAAACGCATTACGGAGTTTCGGTTGAAATTTCATGAGTTAGCCATTTACTTTCGATGTCCCCAACTGTCCGATTACATTTCATGAAAAACATGCAAAAAATTTTCACTCTTTCGCTCATTCGGTAGACAACCATGTCTTCTTCCAATTTTATACTCGAAGGAGGGACATAATACAGTTTTAAAAAAGTTTTCAACTGTGAGACTTTTTAACGCCGTGAAATGACCGTCCCTCTAATGGTCATGTCTCTGCATTTACCAATTTAGCTTGCAAAGTTAGCAATATGGATCAAATCCACTGTTACATTTCATGAAATTTAACTGGTTTCCTTTTAAAACTGTGGAGAAATGTATGGGTTTTCATGCGCGGAATATATACCCCTTGTAGTTTTTAAACCCTAAGTCCAAGTGTATCGGCAGGCCGGGTTCAAAATTATTCGAAAATTAGAAAAGTTTTAAAAAACGGTTAGTACCCTTCCTTCGAGTATCAAATTGAAAGAAGACGTAATTGTCTACCGAATAAACAGGGGAATAAATATTTTTATGCATGTTTTCTATTAAAATATGATTGGACTATTAGGGGCTTTGAAAATCAATAAGAAAAATGCATGCTACTTATGTGGTCGTTTTTTACAGAGTGCAATTTCTACATGAAACCGAAAGAAAGTTTATTCAAAAGCCGGCATCCTGAAGTTGCTGATTTATTATAGAATTATGCCTTTGGCTGATTACTTTTACAACCCTACATAACTAACTTCTCGAAACGAAAAGGCACTTCGTAATTTCTGTTGACATTCCATAAGTTAGCCCACCTACTGTATACCAGGCTTCTGTAATGACTGCCTCAGAAAGATTCACAAAGGACACCTTGGGTAGGAGGCATAGCAGTCCGGCTCTCGATCCTTCAGTCCCTTCATTACGAGGCCGCGGTTATCCCGTTGGGTGGCATCCTCCAAGACCATGAATTTTGGCCCCTCTTGATTGGGCCGGATCTCTCATGAGGAGGAATGCGCTGGTAAGTCGGCTTTGGTCCTACTTAAAGGACCGAATAATGTGCATCATATAACACCCGAGGGCATGTGTGGTCATCCTACCGTTGGCAGCAGTCTGGTATCAATCTATTCACTTCTTTACCTACTGATCTACGCCGAACTTGTGGTACGCTTAAGCGATATACCAAATTTAGCTTTTTATAACGCAAAAGATGATTTCATTTCTCGGCTGGACAAGGTTACCCTAAACGGGTCAGGGGTTGTTGCTTGGTTTAATTAAAATCATTTGGCTGATAACGGATAGCCAACCCGCTTTTTAAATGCTGCCTCACTACTGAGGAATTGCTGTTATTTTTATCTGATATTCTGTCTGAGAACGTTATTGTCATGGCAAGCAACCAGACCTTCGGAAATCTGAGCTGCATGCTGGGCCTAAAAGAAATATTTTAGGAATTTCTTGGAGCTGATAAGTAGTAGCCATTATCCCGTACGCCTTTAGATCATTGTCTTTGTCGAGAGATTGGGGGTGCAGTCGTCAGAATGTATGAATATGGAATGTTTGCCGCAGTTCTCATGCGTATGCAGAGGCTAATAGATGTAATATGCAACGGGAAACGTTTAACTACTAATAAATCACTCTGAATAATGTTCTTCGTAAAGCTGCGTTCAGTGGGCGCAGTCTTCTCACTGTGCTATTCAAACTTCAGGTAGGAATCGTTAGAGTTAACGTGTTGCCTTGGTCGGATCCTACTTCATTGGCTGCATCGTCAGAGGGTTAGGAACAGGTGATGTGCTATCCAACCAAATGCTAACGGAAATTTTGAAGTGTCTTGGATTCGAAAAGATCGTCCAAGTAGGTTTACAATATAAATAATCGTGCAGCGTAATCCCGAGATGTTCCAGTCGCGTTAAAAAGCTGGCTTTCGAACATGCTTCTTTCCGCCCGTCTGCAGAACTCACAGTCTGCAAAGAAATGGTTAAATAAGTAGCATGATCTTTTTCCATTCACATTCCATTTTCTTATAAATTCGCATATAGTTTGCAACAAACATACACAAAAATATCCCTTCTTGTACTCATTTGGTATCTAATTCCGTCCTCTTTACATTTTATACTTAAGTCAAGGGTATTCTTCGGGTTTAAAAAGCGTTTGCAATGCCCGCATAATTTTCAACCCGACTTCTTTCACCACTTCCATTCAAGGTTTGCACAAAAGTTTATAGTCCTCAACATTTCGGTAATTCTTAAACTGAATCTGATTCCTGTCCGTCCATCTTGGGGAGTTCTCGCCTGCCAATTAGTAGAAAGGCGATTCTTTAGGCTGATTACTAAAGACTTCCTTTAATCGGGCCCTTACCGTCTGCGGAATCTTACTGACCAATGAGCTGTGGACATCATTTGGTGCAGTCCATTAGTCGGAGGTGCGAGTATACGGTATTTTCTACAATTTTCCCCATCGGACGTTACGCAACTCTTTCTAATTTGACAATTCCTACTCATTAAAGCCTACATTCTACTACTAAAACACACTTAAGTAGCTACCGACCCAGTGATTCTGTGTAGGAGTCCTGTGAGACAAGCCTAATTACAAATTTATTTTGCCATGTACCGAATATTAGCTCGGTTTTAAACCCCTTTCGGATGCAGCTTTCTCCCGAAGATTACATCAGTTTCGTGCAAACGGACAGGTCTGTTTTGGGGGCAGTAGTTACTCCGGACTAGTCTCCGTTGGTGTCGTGCAGTTTACATCGAAAGGTCGTTATTCGTCACTGCTACCCACTTCCAAAATGCCCAGAAAACTGGGGGAATTCGGCTCAGCGACAGGTAATAACAGTCAAGCCCATAACATCAATCGCGACTGGTTAATCCTCAATGCAACTAACAAAGTTTATGTAGAACCACCATCCTGACCATTAAACAAAGAGACCCAATAGATGCATTATGCTGCGGCAATGACGGAGGCTTTCTTCAGAGTAAATGTTGTGAACTGCGGGAGAGCAGCGCCGTTCATAGAAGTCGTCAGTGCGTTTAATTACCACGAGATGCAAGCCCCTATGTTGGGATATTGTGTTTGGGCGCAGGTGTACGCGGCAACGCGCACTCCTTTAGCTAATTTGAAACGCATGTTGGTACTGTTCCACTTAAAGCTTTCAGCGCACAGTCAGAGGCAATAAAAGCGTATGCAGTTTACTTCTATTTTTCATTTGATAGAGATACACAAGCGTGACGCAAACCCACGCCATTGGCGCCCTATAAGAATCAATCAAAGGTTGAGTTGACAGCACAGTCTCTCCCGTTCAACATACTTTGGGTGCTGCAAGGCACCCCCTGTCCCAGGCAATTGTCGACTGCAGTTGCAGAGATAGATTCTTTCCGCAGTTTTCAGCGGACGACGCACGAAATCGCTGCTGGCCGCTCCTTGGGACGCACGTGGCACATGCTTCCCGCGAAGAAAGCAGACGAACGATCGTCAACGAAATACTTCTACAACTCTGAGTTCCCAAAAAGTAGCATAGCCACCTGTCTGCACCCCGTGCTCTTCAGCTCTCTGTAACCTTTGTTGGTATATTACAATTCAGGCGCACATACCACGAATTGGCAGGATCTAAATGACCCCTCTGGAATTCGTTGGCAGGTCCTCACGGAAAAATCGTCCAACTCAAGTGAAAGGCAGTCACAAGCAGCCCCTATGGCATACGTCAAGGGGAATTCACGTGCCAGTTCCGGTTTCGGGTGCGGGGCACGAGGCTGCGTTACAAAATGAACGCAAGCGAAACCGCAGGTGCGTTGCCCGCGGGCTGCCTACCTTCTTATTCTTTATTACTCTGTCAACACTTCCGTAACCAACCGGTAGTTGATTACTCATCTAAGGGCGTGAGTGTCTCAGACCTTCACCTGGTCTTCGCTTGTTTGTGGTTTCCTTAACCAAATCTCGGCCAGCAGCCGGGCATGACCGTCAGTTCGTCTTTCGAAGCATTAGACCTCCACGAGACTACGTCCTTTACATGGTAAATAAAGAGGCCGGGTTGCCATGGCTGTTATACCACCACTGACGTCAGCATCCTTCAGATTGACTTATAGAAGCCAACTCTTAGAAATATATTCTGTTGTGTATCTGACAAAGGTTGCTGGAGAAACATATAGTCCTAAAGTCAACTCCCTTCTCTATCTCTCTCTGAGTTAGTTCACAGCATGACTTCTTAGACCCCCTGGCCGTAAAGCCGGTTTGGTGACGGCAAACTGAACGAGCATGCAGCTTTACTGCAGCGAAGTCCTCGCAGCCACTAGTCATAATATTTAAGTCATTAATTACATTTGAGCGCACATGGCCAAAACGCAGAAATTCAGGGCGCCATCAAGAGCACCTAGGCGGTGTATTCCACGCAATTCTCGAAGAATGACTACAGTTGCTTAGGTTTAGAGCAGCGAATCAAACGTAGTTCGCCGGAGACAGGCACAAGTACGCACCCCATCACTTGGAACGGTAATGCACTAATAAGGGAGACAAATCAGTGATCAAGTATTCGCCAAGCTTTCAATCAAAAGACTGAAGACAATCAGATGGACAAAATTGCCTTGAAACAATCGCAGGACACATCGGTTCGAACTCAGAGCAGTGCGATTTGCCACTCGGTGTATCAAGGAACACTGGTGTAAAAACAAAGTAACATCGTGTAATGAACAGTTCAATGTACAAAGCGAAATGACACTTCGTATGATGGTAACGCAGTCAGAATACAAAATGCAATACCAATCGTTGCCAGGTGTCCACATTTACAGTTCCTCCTTAGCATGCGACGAAGTCTGTTGAAAAAGGAGAAATAAGTGGGCATTTTAGGAAATGAAGGCCAATCAAATAGAAAAATACTGGAATAAATGACATCTTACGGCGAACCTCATTTCTCCAGGAAAAAGTCATTTACTAGGGCATCTACCTGATGGGCGATGGAATCTACCTAGTTTTAGAGAGCTCAAATGTGCTAACAAGTCAGAACTTGCACCAAGACTGTTTATCCCTCCTGACGCCGATTGCATTCTTAGTGGCTTATTTTGACACACCCACGAGAAAGCCTTGCTGACCGGCGTGTGTTCTTTGCTCGAACTGTCCACCACCGCTTCTTTATACGGTAAAAACTACTGGCGTTCCTGCCATCCCTCTAAAGTGAATTTTGCCTTGGGCTTTAGCGATTTTAGTATGCTAAGCAATTTATTTGCTACAACATAAGTGCACCGTAACTCATTTGGCACAAGCATGTAACATATCAACCTAAGGAAACGCAGTGTACAAACTCACATGTTCGGAGTCCTCCGTGGATTCAGTCTGAAAGTCCGTGGCCGGCTGCAATTGCTCTTTATCATTAGCAGAGAGAGCATCCTCGTCATCGGCTTCGACAGGCTCATCCAGGTCGACGCCCAAATTCTTTCGCATGATCCGCTCGACGCGTCCAACAAATGCAGCTGGATCCTTAAGTTGATATCCAGAGCGAATTGTGGCCGTTTCGAAAAGAAGTAGTGCGTTTTCCTTAGCCTTCTCGTCATTCTGGTCAACCTGGACTCGTTCAAGGAGTTCTTTCATGAGAGGGTGATGCGGATTGATTTCAAGAGTTTTCTTTTGTGACATGTAATACTCCGTTGTTGTCCTGTCCGCAGACTGGAATGCCTGATTAGTCATAATTCTTTCGAAGTTTCCTGACCACGAATACTGATCAGCCACCAATGCACATGGGCTGTCATGAAGTCGCTGAGATACTGTGGCTTCCTTAATGAGTCCTTCCAGTGCAGTATCCTTCAACCACTTTGTTAGAGGGGCGAAAGTCGTCTTCTGTTCCTCGAATTTCTGTTTGGCGTCTTCACTTTCATCAAGTTTTACACCTTCCTTCGCTAGATTTTGAAGCTTTTTCGATTTAACCTCCGTCAGTGCCTGCATAACAAATTCGTCCATGGGTTCCGTCATATAAATCACTTCGTAACCTTTGCGAAGGGCCTTTTCAACGAAAGGTGACTTTTGAGCGTCTTCAGTGCTCGAGCCACCAACATAGTAGATGGTGTCTTGCTTCTCTTTCATACGACTTATGTAATCGCTAAACGATGACAAGTCGGTTTCCGAGTGCGATGTACGGAACCTCAGAAGGTCCGTAAGTTTGGACTTGTTAGGCTGATCTTCCAAGATACCCAATTTGATTGAAACCGAATACTGCTTCCAAAACTCCTCATAGTCTTTTTTGGGGAGTTTAGAGAGCATATCTATTATTTTACGAACAAGTTTCTTCTTTATGAGCTTTAGAAGCTTGCTCTGTTGTAGGGTTTCACGTGAGACGTTTAGAGGTAGATTATCGCTGTCGACGACTCCATAAACAAATGCCAGATAGCGTGGGAGCATTTCCTCCATATTATTTGTTATGAAGACACGACGTACATACAGCTACACCATGAATAATATAGAAACGGGTTACCTTAATATTGTCCGTAATAGGCTTGTTTCCCTGATACAGATCGAATCGCGCCTTTTTAGGTATAAACAAGATTGATTTGAAGGACACTTCGCCTTCAGCCTCGAAGTGGACTTTCGCCAGAAGCTCCTGATAGTCGCTAGTGAAAGCTTTGAACAGTGCAATGTACTCCTCTTCTGCTACTTCGGATGGTTTTCGCGTCCACAGAGGTTTCTGTTTGTTAACCTGAACCCAATCCCAAACAGTTTTCTCCACCTTCTTCTTCTCCTTCTCCTTAGTATCCTCTTCGACCTAGTGCAAGTTCAAAAAAATAACTGTCGGCATACCGTTACGTCATCAGATGTCTCGGCAGGTTTCTCCTCTTCGGACTCCTCAGTCACCTGTTCGGTTCGGCTGTCCCACAGATAGATGGGGAATGTGACGAATTGACTGTACTTATTGACGACCTTTTTCAAATTTGCGAGTTGCAGGTAATCGCGCGATTCCTCCCTTATATGCAAAATGATTTCAGTCCCGCGCACCAAAGTGTCCCCTCGTGGATCCTCCACAATTTGGAAAGAGTTTGAATCCGACTCCCATATATGTTGCTTGTCTCTGGGGCTTTTTGACACGACGGTGACACGGTCGGCAACTAATAGATGCGTAAGTACTGAAGTGGCAATTCTCACCTATGAAGGCGGAATAGAACCCGACGCCAAATTGACCGATCAAGTCGGTCAGGGATGTCTGATTATCAACTTTTTCCATTTCTTTCATGAAATCGGCAGTCCCAGACTTTGCTATTGTGCCAAGGTTGTTCTTCAACTCGTCTTGTGTCATGCCTATTCCTGTATCTCTAATAGAGATAGTTTTTTCCTTTTCATTGACTTTAATGCGAATATAAAGGTCAGACAGTGGCCCAAGGACGCTCGAGTCGGTAAGAGAGAGAAAACGTATTTTTTCGAGGGCGTCCACAGCATTGGATATTTGCTCACGTAGGAATATCTAAATAATTAGATAAATGGACAAACGAAATCTTACGTCATTGTTTTTGTAAAGGGAGTTAATAATCAACTTCATCATTCTATCTACATTCGTCTCAAACCCTTGCTTCTCAGCATTTTTCACAGACTGTCTCAGCGATTCATATTCAAGACTAGGTCAAGTAAGCTGCAAAAATAACAGACATACTCTTCTGGTTCATCTGCTCTTGTGCCCGAGGATGACTTGGCATCGGATAAGTCGGGTTCTGAAATATCACATAACACATGAACAAAGGCAACTGGCGAATGAACTCTCAAAATAACTTACAAGATACGTAGAGAAGGAATAAGCCCCACACGAAGCGACCCGCCGCAGGCATTGCTAAAGCACCACTGCGACAGCTGAACACGCAAACACCTTAAACGCGCTATAGTGCTGTGGGGACTGCTGATTGGTCAAAAAGTAGGCATTGGTAAAGTAAAAGTTCAGAAGATGAAGATGCGATCACCGGTGCGATCGCATCTTCATCTTCTCAACTGCTACCTGGAACTCGCCTGTTCGCTTCTATCGGTTAAGTAAAAGTATTGCGCGCATTGCGTTCGTTGATTTCGTCCCAAAGCAAACTGTTGCCTGAGGCGGCTTCAGACTTTACGGGATAAGACGTTCGGTAATGCCCCGTCCCTGTAGGCCTTTGCCCGCGCTCGAAGGAAGCTAGTGCCCTATACGGCAAGTTAGTCAGTTTAGTAAGAGAACGAGGCTGTCGCCCTTGAGCTCCCTATTCATATGCAAAAACAGCAGTAGGATCAATTGTTACACCCGTTATTTTGGAAATTAAAAATTTCCTCCATGATACCCATTTAGACCTTTAAGAAGTCAAGTGCGCCAAACGTACGTTTTCGATTATTCATCATCAGGCCTGTAGAGCAATATAAGGGAGGGCAGAATAGCAAACGTAAGACAACCGAAAAATTTCAATATGGGAGAGAGGGCTGAGGGACATTCAGAGGTCAGTGGTCAGATTCTACTTCTGTCTGAAGCTTAGAGAGTGGTAGGGCGAAGGTGTCTGGCGATTAACTGTCCCTTTTTCATCGTTGTAACGCGACGTGGCGGGCGTGAACACATATGCTTGGTTTGCCTTTGCACAGGGGAACCTAAGAGTTTGTACGGACGCCTTACGCGAGAAAATAGCCGGGTCGACTAACCGTATGGCCATTACCTCTGTCCCCACAAGCATTCGCTGACGCGGGAACTTGGAGTGTCTCGCTACAACTTTATAGATGACTTGGAATGCATGGTTGACGACTACCCGGTGGTCGCTCTCATCCAAGTGAGCCTCGGTTGCGCTAGAGATGGACGTTCCCCCATGTTTATTCAGCCAGGCAGGATGGTGTTCTTGCATCCGTTTGTATAGATGACTAGTTGTCCGACCAATATAGCCTGCCCAACCTGAACCTCGTCGCCCTGCGCGCCCACCACCAGACCACCATCACAAAATATGACATTGATACCGTCGACTTCTCATGTCCACACTGTTCCCCTATATTCACCTTGCGCATCGACCTGGTCGGTCACCTGCGAATCCGTCACACAGAGACTGGCTAACAAGTGCCTGCAACACCAACCTGCACTCTCCTCATCCGTCCCCACTGGTTGCATTGTAACTGTTCATTTATTCACCGCATTGGTCTACAAGGCCACATGCGGTTCCACGAAAACCTGAGGTAGACAACCACCGGCTGCACCACACCATCACATCCTCCCCTACCAGTATTCAATTCAATTCAATTATTTTTATTAAATACCCGTCGGGGTCCCATCAAAGCAAGTAAAAATAAATTTACATGCGAATTTTAGACGAGGTAGGCAAAATCTGTACAAAGTGCAATACATAGTTTTTGAGATTAGAAGTCCGTTAAGCAAAATGAAAATGAAAAAAACGAGGGGCGAAAAAAAACTCCAAAGCAAAATTTAAAAATGATCGTAGTAATTTAACAGGAGAAAAAAAACCCTCAGAAAAATAGCATCAGAAAAATACAGGGAGGACTGGCCTGCATGTGGCGGTACAGAATGGAATATAGTCCGACATCAACATGGCCGAAATAAATGTCAGCTGTATATGGCATTGTGTAACGGATTTCATAAAATGGTACGTAGGCGGGTCGGTCAGGACTGGCCTGTATCGCCTTGAATAAGAAAAATAAGTTGCAAAATTGAAAACCAGTCTCGAGGCGACAAGAACCCAGATGCGGTCTGTTACATTCACCAGACTCCATCCGAGGATAGGGCAAAGGAGATGCGACCAGACTACTAGTATATGGCGAATATAAAAGGCTTTGTCAAGAGCGTCAATGGAGCGCATTCAGTGAGGGTATCATGAAGATCAGTCTCCAGGCGATAGGAACCCAGATGCGGTCGGTTTCATTCAACCGAGTCCATCCGAACATGGGGGAAGGGAGATGCGACCAGACTACTAGTATATGGCGAACATAGAAGGCTTTGTCAAGACCGCCGATGGAACGCATTCTGTAAGGGCACGGTGACAACCAGTCTCGAGGCGACAAGAACCCAGATGCGGTCGGTTACATCAATCAGAGTCCATCCGAGGATAGGGCAAAGGAGATGCGACTAGATTACTAGTATATGGCGAATATAGAAGGCTTCGCCAAGAGCGTCAATGGAGCGCATTCAGTGAGGGCATCATGAAGATCAGTCCCGAGGCGATAGGAATCCAGATGCGGTCGGTTACATTCATCCGAGTCCAACCGAGGATGGGGTAAGGGAGATGCGACCAGACTACTAGTATATGGCGAATACAGAAGGTTTCGCCAAGAGCATCGATGATGCGCATTCTGTGAGGGCACGATGCATGAACTGAAAAATTGAAATAATTGACATTTCTGGTGAGGGATCTTAGGTAGCGAGACTACTCATAAAGGAAGGAAACGTGAACAGATACGGAAATTTAATAGCGGCATGCTAAATTCCCGGTGGCCCTTTCTCAGTGTCATAGAAAAAGTTGTCTGGGAAGGATGAGGAAAATAAAAGTTTAATCCAGTCAGTATTCAGATAAAGGCGTAGCCTT